TTCCGATTAAACTCACGCCGCCGCCGCCACCGAAAAGTCCATTTATATGCGACGGTCGCTTGGCGGAATTTACAACGCGCAGTTCACTTCCGTTATCGCGGATATTATACCGGGTGGCGTGTGGGTGGTGGCGCGCTGGCCAAAATTTCGCGCTAGCGTGCGCGACGTATGATCGCGAATAAGCGGCGGCCGGGCCGATTAAACCGGCGACAGCGTATTTAACGTTTTCATTGTTGGAGTGTAATCCCTCCGCTCTTCGGCGCTCGTGAGCGCGCTATCGCGACCGTATTTCCATAAATCTGAATTTCCTCCGGGCCGAAGCGGCGTGTGTCGGTCGACCGGGCGATCTGCCACGGTCGCCAACGCCGCCAACGCCGCGCGCGCAATCGATTAATTAATAGCCGTTAATTGGCGTGTCACGAGCACTCGTAAAATTCAGCCCGAAGACAGCGTTCATCCGGCGCGGTCGGCTTTTAAATTCGCATTCGTATCGCGAGCTGCAGCCGTCCCGAAACGTCAGCTCGAAGTGGCGCCGGCCTGCGAGCGTGCTTCGCGAAACCCGTTGCCGATCGCGATCTGATTTATGAGACAACACGCGGACTCGGAAGAGCGAGAAACCGCGATGAATGTTTATATTCCGACATCGACCATGTGATATTTAACCCATTAAAGGCCGTAATTATTTCATTAACAGTTCCAGTCGAAGGAACAGTCTACTTGTTTCTTAGAAATGTCAAGAGAGAACTATTTTTGACGATATAAATGTAATTGCAAATTGGATGCTGATAATATAAAGAATAAAATTAAAGAAATTACAATTAACAGAAGAATGAAATTACATATTAAAGTCGTGATTTCTTTTAATAAGGGAAGTATCCCATACTGAGAAAAAAGTTTTTGGGGCTTTTAATTAATAAGAAATGAAGGAGTTATAATCAGAGGTGCGATTTTTCTAGCGAATATTACTATAGTGCCAGTAACAATAACACTTTACATGCTTTATTGCCACTACTAATTTTTCGGATGAAACCAGAAGAAAATACAGTTGAGGCCAAAGATGACTATATATTACAGTGAAATTTTTCTCATGTACTCAACTGTACATCGGCCATTAATGAGTTAAAAAAAAAAACGAGTAAACATTTATGAGCGCGCGAGAATTTCCAAATCTGACGATTTGACTCGTGGAGTATTTTCTTTCGTAATTCGGGATTCCGGAAGACGCGATCGTTACCAATTTGCGCATACCAGGAAACGTTGACAATCGAGTTAACATTTCCGCGCCACAGATCACGCGAGCCTCGTAGGAAAGCGGAGTTTACGATACTGGTTGTAAGACCGGTCCCGCAAGTCCAACCCCTCTTCATTTTGGAATGCGCCTGCTATTTATGCATCACGCTCTAGTTCTCTTACCTACTCTTAAACCTCCGCCCTCTTTAGACGACCGGCGATCGACCGCCGGTCGGGCCAATTAACCAACCCAACCGTCGTTGAACGTTTAACTTTCGTTTGGTTTGCGCTAACATCACGCGCGTCACTTGCACCAGTAGTCTATTGAGGATGCTGTTGATGTGTGTGCTGCATAATCGTAATTCAACTCACTAGCCTAACAACAACAGTGCGTGTTTATCGTAACGTGCCGGTTCACTTTTGTCTGTCAGCACTTTGAAGAGATACTTTTGTCCGACTGTTCTATTTTCACGAATATTTTGTCGAATTTTGCGTAACAAGTAATATTCTCTTTCGGATTCTTCTTCTAATTGTATATAATGAATGATTTCTTCTCATTCTTCCTTTTTCATAGCTTAGAAGCTAAATACAATTAACGAGTAAATAGAAAGAAATAGCTACCGGTGTAGTAAATACAAAGCGAACGAGCGCGCAGCGCAAGAGTTTTGCGCGCTCGGGAGCTTTTTTTTTTCCTTTTTCTCTAACAGTGTCACGCGATGAAATGCCCGTTCCTTTAACGAACGTTATTCTCTTCAAGGTGAATATCGCTCAGGGCGAAACGTACGTTAATGAGAAAGCACTTGTTGAATCACTCCATCAGCAGCCGATCCGAACGAGATGACCGTGCGCCGATGAAAAGGTAGGCGGAATCGTCAGTTTTTATTTAGCTCCGACTTGGACCGACCGAAGATAGAAGGCGATTCTTCCCGCGTCGTGCTACTTTTATTCTCCTCGACCCATATTTTCTCTCTCTCTTTCTCTCTCTCTTCTCCTCTCGTCTTTTATTTTTTTTCTTTCTTCATCCGATCTGTCGATAACTCAACGCCATTTGTCGTCTCCAGTCAGTACAACGGCTATTCATTAAAGTCAATATCCATCCATCAAAGGTTGCCTACTTTCACTCTTCCGATCGTGTCATCTATCAAAACGTTGAAGTATAACTTAAGAAATATTTCGGATATATAATCTGTCGCTATATGCGCGGCTTCATAAATCACTCGCCACAATCTCTGCAGGATGACGATCGACGACGTCGTCGTCGTTGCGTTTCGATTCCTTCGCGATCCCGGTAATCCGAATTATCTCTCAACGACGACGGTCCGCGATTTGCAACGGAGATAGATAGATAGATAGATAGATAGAGAGAGAGAGAGAGAGAGAGAGAGAAAAGAAGCCGACGTTTTTGAATAAAATTTGATTAATCCCCGATCGATCGACGTTATTCACCCCGCGGGCGCTTCTTCCCCGTTCCCCCCAGGCGCGATTCCTCATGCTTTCGCGGTCCGGGGGGGTAACGGACGCCCGATTGTTTTCCGCCTCATTTCTGATACATAAATCGGCCGACGCTCCGCGATCTCGTCGAAATTCACCGAGCCAAGCTCGCTCCGGCGAATCCGAAATGCATCATCGGCCGAGAGAAAGCTCGGCCGCCGTCGGCACCGGTGGTGGTGGTTGTGCATCGTCAGCTTCCACAAGCTCGCGCGTTTCTCACAACCGTCTTTCCACGTCGATCATGCGACCGTTGCCCTCGCACTGGTTGGATCGACTCGACGTCGTCAGCTCGCCAATTTCATCGAGGAGATTCTTCCCTCGGAAGATCCGCGCGGACCGACCGAAAGACAAGCGGGAGATCATCTCGCGAGCGTTTCCACGCGGAATACCCGTCGCGTCGACGTCTTCTTCGCCGAGTTCCTTTTTCATCTCTCCCTCCCCTCCCCGTATTCTCGTTTCCTCCGTTTCATCAGGTCCTCGAGTTTCATTCGGCTGAACGTGACCGACGCGGTCTCGTGACTTCCGCTTTTCAGGGCTTCGAGAGGGTCTCGAATCGCTCGATTCGCGCGGCTCTTCCGCTCCGAAGCGCGCGAAGATCACTCTTCTATTTATGCTATTCGCCGCTTCTCGAAAGGGGATTGCGGTGGTCCATTGCGAGCGGATTACAGTCGATAAAATTGATCGACGTAAAAGGGAGAGAGGGGGAGAGAGAGTGTTTACTCTCTCACGGGATGAACTTCGTTTACCGAAGTTGTAGTTGTCGTTTCATTCGCCTCGGGCCACTTACGAGTGTCAACCGCAGGCGGAGAGGACTTCTCTATTTCTCTATTTCGGAGTTTTCCGAAGTCTACCGCTGCATCCTGTCTCTTTCTCTCTTCTGTCTATTCCACCCTTTACTCTCTCTCTTTCTCGCGCGAGCCGCCTCCTGTTTCCCGCGTATTTACTTCTCAGCCGCAATTTCCCAAAGTCAATCTTTGGTAGGAAGAGCAAAATTTCCTGTTCGCGACGCCCCGCCGTTTTCTCACGTCGAACACACGTCAGCCGCTACGTCCCTGGAACGGGTGGATATGTTTGTCGGTGGATCGTGCTTGTTTTTGCGTCCTCCGTGCGATGGACGCGGTCGCTGCGAATCTGTCATTCCAACCGCGATGTGCGGCCGTTCATCCTTTTCTTTCCCGTAGCCTCCTCGTAGATATAGCCTATATATACGTGTGTCTCACGTTTCGGCTTGCGAAATCTTCGTGAAAGATTCCTCGACAAATTTCGACTCGATTTTTCCATGACGCAAGAAGCCGGAGCGGAGAAAATTGAGAACGGGCGAGAGGAGACTCGATGAACTCTCCAGATTTAATCGCTCTCTCTCTCTCGAGGAATATAAATGAACAAGAATTGCTCGATTTGAGGATTGTGACCGTAAATTTTATACAGATGGGAATTATAGTTCGAAATTTTCGGGAAAACCCTCTTTTTTCCGAATTTTTCGGCGAATTTTTCCGGCTTCTCACCTTCATTACGGAAAAAGGTAAATGTGGCATGTTTTAACCGAACACGCATAAAATTTCTCTAGACGAATTTTTGCATTCTAGACGAATTTTTGTACTTGGAACAGAGACCGAAGAAATCCGCTGAAAATTGGGAAAAATGTGTTTTTTCTCCGACACTTTAAAACTATAATAGGAATATTCGAATTTAGAGCTCTGAGCACACGCGAAAAGTAACTTATCCAATCCGCTTGATCGAAAAGTAACGAGCAATGAGCGGCGACTCCTCGCCAAGGAAAAATCGATTTGGCATTAGTCGGCGGAGTCGGTCGTGGAAATTTCAGCGACGACGAGAACTGCCCACGGGACAGAAAAGGAGGCAGAATCCCGTTTGAACGGCCCCACGTTGCGCTCGCACGCGCAACGAATTTACCCACGCGCTGACTCGTTAGGGAACGAGCGAGAAGCTCGTCGTACCGGGCCCTGAAAATTCTTTCGCCGTACGAGTCCGTCGCAACCCGACACAGTTAATTGAAACGTTCGACGAGCGCTCGTTACGCGCTCTCTCGCTGGAGAGAACGCCGGACTGAAATTTATTAACGAGGATCGGCTCTCAAACGCGAACCTCGTCTCGTCGGCTGTCGACGTGCGCCGTGCGGTTCCTCGAGGAGCAGCTTTACGGCAGGACCGGTGGCCTGATAATACACAGAGCGACCGATAATACAAGCAGCGTCGTCTCCAAGGTAGGCGAGGTGTGTGTAATTATAGCATGTGCGCGCGTACGCGTGTGTGTTGCAGCCGCGGCGCTTCGCGGAGTCGCTATACAACGAGGTAGAGTTGGAGCAGCAAGGGCGACTTTCCCGACGAGTGCCGCATTAGCCCTGGCCACTGGCAGGAACCCGGGGCCACTCGCAGCTGCAGCTGCAGCCACGGCCTTGCATCCCTTCGCACCGTAAGTATCGGCCCGGCGGAGCCCGATCCCGGGGTGAATATTTCAACCCGGAACGTTAAAGGTACTCCGTACGTGCGCGAGTCAGTCCCGATTGTCGCGTCCGCGCTATCACTGCAAAGCCAAGTGTGTTATTTTACACGCTTACGTATGTCAAAATTTTTTACGCATTTTTTTACACATTTCTATACGGTGTGTTTCTATACGGAAGAAAGAGTTTAGTTGCATTATTAACGGAAACAGGGAATAAGTTCTTTCAAATGCGTTCTGATGGAAGGAAGCAGAATTTCTGATTCTTGTGACTCAGATGTGCTTCTTACAATCGGAAATTCTAAATTGAGAAATTTTTATTTATCGTTGAGGTCAATGCGTTTCACTGGTATTGCGTCTCGTTCGGGCACGGTTGAGAGGCTCAAATTAAATTAAATCGTATATATATATATATATATATATACATATTTGACGGTATTTTGAATTTCGATTAAATTGCAAACTACCTCATTCACCGTTCTGCGATAATCGCGATTTAATTATTGTAATTATCAGGAATCGCCAAAAATATACAACGCCCGCGATAATTACAGCAGCGCGGGTTGGCGCGATTCGCTTTTTGATCACGCGTCGAAGAACGCGATTTCGTTGTATTACGAATAATAAACAGTGTAACCTCCCTGTCTCGACTTGCCGCTGCGAATGAATAATCGACGAGTATCGCTGGCGCAGCACGGAGTATCTTTACAGGTCTGAGCCCGGGTAAATCATTTTATTATGTAATTTTATCTTGTAAATAATCTCTCTCACATGTGTAAAATAATCTACCGCCTGATGCTTGTTCTGTGTACACGCGTGTGAATGTGCGGTATATTGTGCATCTGTGTGTGTGTGTGTGTGTGTGTGTCCTTCCGTCCTCTTCGAAAAATTACGCTTGCAGTGAGTAACTAAGAGAGCTCGTCTCCGCGCAATCTGCGCTCTCCCGCAGACGAGACGTTAAACTCTCGGGGCGGTGGTGGTTCGTCGGACGACGGAGGGTGACGTGTGCGATATAACGACGATAATTAATTTACACGAACCGTAGCGGGGGCAGGGGAAGGGCAACGCGAGGGGAAGGCCACGTGTCCGTCGTGTGCGTCGTTGAAGTTCCGAGACTTTTTCCTCGCAGCGGAGCCTCTTCTTCTTTTTCCCTCCCTCTTAACGATCGGCGGTTATGTCGTTAGCGCGGGATTTACATGCCGCTGCTTTTCCCGCGCTCTCGGCGACGATTAAGTTTCGTCGTTTAACGAGCGCGGGTTAAAGTACGCGGCCGACCGCCGTTTTCGGGTTCGTTCGTTCGTCCCATCCGCTGTAATTAAGCCCGCGGTGAAATTTTCTTTCGATCGCGATCCCCGACGTGAGCCTCGAGCGAGCATTAGCGGTACCGCACCGGTTCCGTTCGCTAGGCGCGTATTTAATATTACATTAAGAGGAAGTATGAACATAATGGAACTCGACGGTACACGAGACCGAGCCGTCTCGCGATGGGCTTCTTACGAACAAAATTCCCAACGGAGAAAAACCGACGGCGAGGATGCACCGGCCGCCGGACGCGAGTGCTCGAGTTGATCAACGCTCGCGGGCGTAAACAAATCCACAGCGAAAAAATTTGTGTAAATAACGCGAAATACCGGCGAAATCGCGTCGCATTAACGAGGTGAATATGTTAAAAAGTAACCTCCACCCATAAAATAATCGTCTCCACCATACGATGTCGTCTTTTGTACTCAACGTGTCGGTATAAATTATTTTTTTCATATATCTCGACATTTATAATACTGATTAAACAATAATCAAATCGGTCACTTTGTACGGATCATTTTGTTTCATATATTTGTGTGTGTACTTTTCAACATTATTCCCATGTTAAAGCAACACAAGCATTTCAGTGGGCCGTTACTTACGCAAGATATTTTTTTTACTGTGTGAAAACCCGCGCGCCGGCACGATGTAGGTCGTTCAAGCTGCAGCACAAAAATATCGCGCGGAATGTCAATCGTAGGTTCGCGTTCTCATTCACGCGTCAGTTCGTCGTCCATCGCGCGATGTCCGTCGAAGGCCACCGCGCGCGCCCTGATATCGCGGGGCTGATATCTCGCGGCCAACGCCGAAATTACTCACTGCAACGAGTTGTTGCACGCGCCGCTCTCGGCATCAAGGCTTTGCCTGTCAATCTCACTGCATCTGCACGACGTCCAACAACCGCTCCCTGCCTCCCTCCCTCCCTCCTCTGCCAGCCCTTCGGCGTTCCCGGTGCGCATCTGCGCCCCGCACTCCGATCTAACTCCGCTTGCGCACAATGCGGATTATAATTTGCGAGAGAGCCTCGTGGCGCGCTGGCTCGTCCATTTCCCCCGATGCGGAGAAACTTAGGACGAGCGGAAAAACTAGGGATCCTCAATTACTACCCTTTCCTATTCCCCTTCCCGCGCCACCGCAAGACCCCGCGGAGCAGAACAAAAACCGGGAAAAACCGCTCGACTCGCAAAATAACCGACTGCACTTTGACCGATTAGAGATTCCGAGCGTGTTTGTACGGCGGCGCGCCGCGAATTATCGCGCATCGCGCGGTGATAACGCGATCCTCCCCTTCCCCCTCATTTTCTTTCCTTCCGCTTCTCTCGCGCTCTTTCGCTCTCGTCGGATCCAAAAATCTCCGCGGAACGCGAGGTCTCCCCCCCCCCTCTCTTACTCTTTCTCTCTCTCTCTCTCTCTCCTGCTCTCTGTATTTCTCTCTTTCTCTTCTTCTTTTTTCAAATTCTCCCACTATCGCGAGTTTTTAGGAGCACACGTTCGCGTTGAACAGTCAATCGTTCGTTTTAACCGTTTCGGAACCGAGGAGGACGCGGCGTCCGCGACGGGGAATGAAAAATTTGAATACGAACGAAAATCAATTTTCGAGGCCTGTTACATCGATGCAGGCGCGCGCGCGCGCGCGGCCCGCGAAATCGGATTTGTCAGATCCAATATCTGCATACGTTTTGTGTGTCGCGTTATGCATTTTAATTTAACGTTCCTGTCATTTCATTTGTAAATGTAAATTATTAACGTCCGACAGCTACGCGAAAGGAGGCGCGGCGATTTTATTTTCAATTTACCCGCGCACGAGAACGTTATTATTATTATTGCTATTATTGTTGTTATTTTAAATAATCGACATGCGATATCTCGACGGCCAACTTTTTCCATTTCTGCCCGACGTGTAATCAAAATAGACGCGGCCGCGCGAGTTTCTCGGACCTGCCGAGAGCGAGCTCGCGAGTTTTTCGCGTCCGGTCTTTTCTTCTAAAACAAGATTATTACTTGGCCAAGTTAAATAGACTTTTAACAACGATCCTCAACGGGAGCGGAGTAATAAATGGGAGCAGACTACTCATAAAACTAATTCCATTGCGAATACTCCTCCGAGCAGATGCAATATAAAGCAATCAACTTTTTGCCCCCTCCCCGCACTGTCCCACACCCCCGCCCTCGCCCCCGCCGAACACAATTCATAGTCTTCGCGCGCGTAAAACAAACTTCGCTCGCGCCTCGCGCGCGCACTCGCGGAGAGAGCAAAGTTTATCGCGTTATCCGCCGCGGAGCGCGCGCGATTGTTGAGCTGCCGAGTAGAGAATTTTCAATTTCAACCCCGGGCCGGACGCGATATTTAATACGCGACGTCCACCGGGCACGCGATGCATTGTGCCGTGCATTATTGAGTTGAAAGATTGAAAAGTCCGCTTCGACGTGAAAAGTAACAGCTCTCGTCTGGCCGAGCGTCCAAATGTTGTTCCACCCCCCTCCCCCGTCGACTATTACGGCCGTTAAATTCGCAAAACTCGTTACTTTGGAAAAAATACAAGATACGAAGCAACGTCGCATTTTTCCTCCCCGTTTTTTCCCCCCGGACGCGCGGTGAAATCTGATTCTCTCGGTCGCACGCGGGGGCAGTCGCGGGGGAGACTCGAAATTCGTTACGCAGGCAAGCTGACGCGAAAGGCGGACACGCTGCCCCGTACTCATCCGTGATTTTTATTTTACAGCGTCTACTACGATCCCTTCCTCGCAGCGCACGCAGCTACGCAGGACTCCAACTACAGGCTACAGGTGAGATATCTCTGGATTTTTCCTCGCTCGCGGAGGTTATTCCGCGCTTCCGGTGCACGACGGCGCGCGGCCATCGTCGAGACGGTAATCGTATCGTCGATTGACGCGGAGAGAATGAGCTTTTAATTAGATCGAAGAACATCGTACAGAACGGAACCACGGTAAAACGCTCCGACCGAGCGAGACGGCGATAATCAATCAACGCGCGATCGTCGTCCGATAATCGGCCGTTAATCGGAAAATAAAGCCTCGTGAACGTTTGACGTGTTTTCATTATGTTGCGCTGCACGGACAGCCATCGGCCGGAGCTAATTAATCGGACAATCAGACTGTCGCGATGCAGTCGATACGTGGTGCCTGCGCGCAAGCTCGCGCAAGAGAGGCGGCCGCGTGTCGCGTGATTTCGCGAAATCTCGCCGATGGCGATTTTTCCTCGATTGCATTCTCGAACGCACGCTCCTTCGCATCTGAAACTGCGCTCTTCACTGACAGCACGTGTGCGAACGAAATATTCAAATAGACAAACGCAATTTTCGCGAAATCGAACATCATTTCAGCGCCGTGCGGAAAACGAGAACTGATTCGACGCTCGTGAAATATATCCTGAAGAGATAAACGCGCGGATGGATAGAATTTGTTAAACGGCGCTTTTTACTTAGAGCGCATTTGAACGGAATATTCAAATAGACGAGTGCAATTTTCGCGAAATTGAGCATCATTTCAGCGCCGGTATCGGGAAACGAGAATTGATTTGACGCTCGCGAAATGTACCTTGAAGAGAAATGCACAGGTGGATAAAAGTATACAGAATATAGATGAATATATCTTGAAGGGAGAGAAATCGGCTTAACACGTCCGTCAAAGGATCTGTCGTTGAAATTAAATTCAACGATGACGAACGAGAACCGCTACATCGTCAGGATAATTTCGAGCAACTCGAAATAATGAGTTCCTCGCCGCACCGAAATATTCCTTCTCGACGGGACTCTCTTCGGAATCGAACGGAAAACGCTCGCTCTCACGTGCACCGGAAGCGGAATACGGCGCAGTATATGTTTGTAAGATGATATATACGAGTGTGAGCGCAGAGATCTTGACTAAAGTCCGTAACTCTTGATGGACCCGTTTAGCTGGAATGGCCTCAAGCAACAGCTGACGTTAGTTGACACATTTTGCCAGGCTTGCACACACACACACGTGTATACACAGTCACACCCACACATGAAAGAGAGAACTCTGGGAGAAACCGATAACAATTACACCATTCCCTATCTCGTTCTACATTGTTCCGATCGTTCGCCGTTCTCATTGTATCTCATTTCTCGCCTGCCTCCCTTCTCTCTCTCTCTCTCTCTCTCTCTCTCTTTCACTCACTGTCGTTTCATTCGCACAAAAATCCCGATGCATCCCGACGTCACGAGTGATAGAAAAGAGAGTGCACGCGCGACGGACTCTGCCAGCCGTCGAGATGATTATTCCCCGCCTCGATCATGCGTCTCCCCGGCACCAATTCGCGCGTGAATGGATTTTACATTCGTGCCCGTTTTGACAGTCTCCTTTGAAACCAATTTCTCGTCGCCAAAAGCGAACGTCGAGTCTCAAATGACTACAGTCGCGCCGTGTGTACGCCATTGTTGACTGCGACGGAACGGCGCTTTGAATTTTCTCCGACCGGTGTGCATGCGACAAAAGAAATCATCTCGCAATCGACGAGAGAGGATCGTCTCGGGAGGTAATTCCGCCCGAATCGCGTCTGAAATTATACGGATTGTTCCGCGCGTTCAGCGTTGAATCGACTGAACTTCGCTGACGGAATCTCCGAGGAATGAAAGGAATCGTAGATTTCCGGAGTTGTCTTTCAGCGCCGGGGGACGATTCGGATGTCGCGTCGTCGCGTATAATGAATCGTCGTATTAATTTGCAATTTTTCAATTATGCATTTTTCAGCGTAATAAAAATCTCAGGACGGACAACCCGCGTCTTCGCATTTATTCGCGTAGAAAACAAATCTTAGGTCCTTGTATCATCCGCGAGGCATCTTGTTGCATCTTGTGCTGCCGAAGTGCATCTCATCGCGCACCATTTCACCCGTCCTCGCGTCTCCCCTCGTCCCATCCGCTTTAGTTACATCTCTACATTCTCCTTTCTCTCTCTCTCTCTCTCTCTTTCTCTCTCCCTGTTTTCACGACCATTCAAAGAAATGATTCGGCAGGCGACCCGACGCATAATAATCTCGAGCGCGCGATATAGCGCGACATTGCGGTGTGGATAATACGCTAATACGCGGACGGTCGCACGCGAGAACGGATTTTCGCGTGCTCGCGTCCGGAAGCACGGAAAACGGAGTTAACTCGCTTTTAACGAGGACTCCAAAGTCCCCCGCGTAGAACTCGAGATCGAGTTTCCTCCGTCGGGATTCTACCGGAATTTCTTTTCAGGTTTGCCGTTTGTGTTTCAGGCTAAAGCGCCCGCCCTGGAGGTAGGAATTAAGGGTCCGCCCGTTCTTCTCGTCTCTTCGTCTGTCTCACATCTATATATATATTATATATATTTATATATACATATATTTCTCTCTTCTCTCTCTTCTTGTTATCGTTCATTTTGTCTGTTCTCGTTATCTCTTTCTCTCTCCCTCTCTTTCTTACTCTCTCTCTCTCTCTCCCTCTCTCTTTCACACTCTTTTTCTCACTCTTTCTCTCTTTATTCTTTTCACGTTTCCGTTCGTTCGCAATATTGAAGCGCCTCACCGATCTCTCGGAGAGACTGTTTAGTTAAATGTGTTCACAACCTTCTCCTGCTAACAATCCGTCCCACCCAGCCCCGTGAAAGTCTCAAGCTGCAGCTTTGCCTCGAAAGAGGGTCGTTTTAGGGAAGCTGTAGAGGAGAATTTCATCCGGTCGCGAAGGAGCCGCCAGCTTCCCCCGCGACTGTGTCGCGCGTTTTCTTTTCTTCCTCCCTTGTTCTCGATGGGTATTAGCGTGAGACAGCATGCGTTGTCGTTTATTACCTCCTTACTAAACTTAGAGCATGCGTCGCACCGACTTAGAGAATCCGTCGTAGGAGGCTACATACGAGAAAGGAAGAGAGAGAGAGAGGGAGAGAGAGAGAGAGAGAGTGTAGCGAACTTTGTGATGAGTGCACGCAAATTGGGTGTCGTATGAAGTGACTCTCAATTTTGTTTTGAGGGAGCTTTGTATTATGCGGGCTGTAGGCAGGTTTCGTGTAATTAGCAAGCTGACGCAAGGTAGATTAGTCGTACGACGATCTTGATGTGGTAACGTAGTCAGATTAGGCCCACCGCCATGGTAAAGATAAATTCGTAGCGAATTAACCACGAATATCGGTAGACCGAAACGCTTGGCCGCACGTTAATCCCGAATGAGCAAGAATTCGCGAGACCTACACGCAATCATGACCGGAGAATGGTTAAATGTTTAAAGAGCCAATGTTCACTCGGTCGGTTTTCAGTTGCAAAAGTCATATTTTGAAACATTCTGTACAATTTAATATGTCTGAGCATTTTCCGCTTTTATTGTCAACTATCATATGCACTTGTGTGAGATGTTATCTGTTATTTGCTTACATTCGTTTTCCCTAATTGTATTCCCCTTGGGGAAATCCTCCAAAAGGGATTTCCCGTTAATAAATAAGGTGGGGTATATTACAATAAGCACGTCGATCGAGTAACGTCTTAGCGGTTAAAGGACGAAATTGAAAAACTCAGTTGAACTCGGCGAATTTTTCGATCACGAGATGCTTGTAAATTCTGAAACTTCTGCAATTGAAAATCGTCAAAATGGACATTTCCCTTTCTTTCGTGGCACAGATACGCACGCTGGCACGTCAACTTTCCAAGTCGATATAAATATCGCAATATCACGGAGAGAATAGACGAGAAATAAGCTTTTAACGACTTCGTGCTGCAGAATCTATTTTATCCGATCGGGAGAGCGAGAGAAAGAAACACGACTTAGTAACCGACCCTTATTGTGTTTCGCGTCAAACGGAGATACGCTCGTGCCAAAAATGTAAGTCCCTGTATCAGACCGGCGACATGCGCGATCGTAAATACGGGACAGCAGATACGAAGGTAAAAACTTTTCCGCGGTCGTGAATCAGCGAGCGATGACCATTTGTCGAACTGTTTTACGAGAGCGCCTCTGGCACTCGTCTCGAGAGCCTTATTACGACATTAGGACGTTATTGCGCGAATGCTTTATTGCGAGTGTCGGGGCGTCAAAGTATATCGCTCCGAGAGAATTTTCATGACTGCCAGCGTGAAAATTTATTACGAGTGTCGGTGGGCACGCGTCAAAGCGCGTGTCGCTCGGAAAATTTCTCACGATTCACTTGCGCGGGGCGCGAGGAGACAACGAGGAAAAGTGGACGACAATTCGACAATATATAATTACATTGTCGTGCAATATTATATAATATATGTATGTATGCGTCGAATCGCTATCAATTTTTATTTCATGGCACGCGAATGACGAATTTTTGGTCGGAATGAAAATTCAACGGAACACTATAAACAAACCGCGGCGCTATTAGTCTTTTATCATGGCTGTAAAGTCGCTTATCGTGCGACCACGAGTGGTTTAATAAATCATCCTCTTATCTCTCTCTCTCTCTCTCTCTCTCATTCTCTCGCGCTGGATGGCGCAAAAACGCGCTCGACGGCTCGAGAATCCGATACGTAAATAATATTCAGGGGAGATTAACGAGACGTTAACTGGCGGCGTATACTCGTGCGGAAGAGGAAGGACGGGAAAACTCGTTATCGGGGCGCGTGAGTAGTGTCTTTAAACGCGGAAGCGGAGAGAGCACGGCGCAGAAGAGAGAGAGAGAGAGAGAGAGAGATGAAGGAGTCCGGCCATAAATTGTGTAGGCGCACGTGCCGGGAATCGCGGGGAATTTTCACGGCTAATTTCGACGGAGGCTCAATCTGCGAATTCGACGGTCAATCCCTCGCCGCCTCCATCGCCCGTCATTTCGTCCGAAAGAGACGGAGGAAACCGTCCTCCTCCTTCGTACCGGGAATTTACGAATCGCCGCCGCGGAGCAATAGCAACGGCAGTCGGCCATCATCCTCGACTTAGTGAGAAACCCCATAAATCAACGTCGTTGTGGCACGCTCGTCATTTGAACGGCTGACGGGTTCATCCCGGGCTGCGTCTTTGCGACAGCGAGGATGCTACGTAATACCGAGGATGTTAAAAGCGCACGTCGCACTTGTTTGAGTCGCGGTTCGAAAATACACACTCCGGTGAAAACCCACGCGGAGGATTTTTGCGGAGGTCGCGGTTTCGCAAGAGCCACCGCGTCGGGAAAGAAACTCCCCGCTATCCGCGTTCATTGCGGGCACAGACACGATGTTCCCGTGTACAATGTAATCAGACGTTAAGCGGGGGAGGCGTTAAGAAGCCTGTATAGAACTTTGATAATTGCGGCAAGTTCGCGGTAGGGTTAAGATGCTCAGCTTGTTTAACTTCGGTCCGATAATTAGTTCGTTCGGTTGCAGCGGCTTCGGGTAGGGAACCGCGCTTCCTTTTCCGGCAAGAGAAAGAGGAAGTGGAGGTATTGAATACAGCATTCGCGAAATATTTCCAAGTCTTTTCGCCGGTTTAATTGAGGGGCTCGCCGAGCGGCGACTAAGTTTTAATCAACGGCCGATATATACACCGGGGTTTGTGTGCTTGTATACCGTAATTGGGGAGGGATGTTTCTGCCTTTTCGTTATTTACCGTGGTGCTTGACGTTTTCAAAGAGAACGACGGGCACTGGGGCCATTATCCTTCGCTCGTCCGCGTCTCGATAGTAATGACGTTGTATGTGTAAAAAGAAGCCGAAATAACGCAGAGTAAGAAGATCCACCAGTCGACCACTCGTAATTGACGCGTTCTCCGGTTATTTAAAAGCATACGAATCAAAAACATGAAATACGTTATCGGTAACATGAAATATACCGTTTGATTCCGAAGCACCGTGAAAAACAGTTTCAAAAGTTATCGACGAGAGCTCTGTCAGCAATAAAATAGCAAATATCGTTAACCTGGCAATAACAAGGCTCGATTTCTGGAATGTTAATTGCAAGATGGGGTACGGGTTCGTACCCCACAAAATTTCTCAGCAATTCCATCAGTCCCTGCCATCGAGATTTTAATTTTATACTTTTGCCGTGTCAAAATAATTAAAACTAATCGGAATATCAATTTTATCTATTAAAAAACACAACTTTATCATTATTACACGAGCGAAACATCACAATTCTCAAACTTGCGAACCTGAATTTTCAATAAATATAAATTTTCATAGCAATCCCCGCAAATAAAATTTGGATGTTTTTTGCAAATATGTTCAAATTTCTTCAACTGTCGATAAATCAACGAAACGACAAAATTAGAAAATGACAGTAACGTTTGCTTTTGCTGTGCTTCCATCGGTGAAACTTGGCAAACATCGACGCGCTGAAACCGGGGTCACTTTCCCGTATCCCACTTTGCGTTTTCTAATGCCGTAAACATTTTTCCTACGTTGCAATGTGCTCAGCCGCGCTTCGGCCGTAAACGGAGCTCCGTGGCAAAGGTGCAATAACGAGAGGAAGAGCGCTCGCTTTCCCGCCGTTCTTCGTCACTGTCAGGGTTAAGCGGCTCAGGTAAATCGTTAGGCGTTTCACCTGAGCCGCAGTGTAAACAAGTCCGCCTCGAGTCTGCGGTTTCGCGGTGCGCGGCCGTTTAACAAGGTCGGTTTACGCGGGTGGAAAGAAAACCCGAGAGTAGCTGCTCCGCCGGCAGCGGTAGCGGTGGTGGTGGTGGTGGTGTGTGCGATGCAGCGAAGAGAGAAAAAGCGCGACGGGGTCGACCTTAGCGGGATGCTGAATCAGACGTAACTGCGGTTTGCCCAATCGCGAGATAAAAAGCTAATCACTGGTCTCGGACGCGACGACGAGAACGAGTTTTTGCCTCGATCTCGACACTTCCGGCTGGCCGCCCCCGGAAATTGGATTCGCGAACAGGAATCGCGAGGAATTACCGTCTCTCTCTCTTTCTCTCTCCCCCCCTCTCTCTCTCTCTCGTTGTTTTCGTCGACGATATCTCGTCGGACGAGTGGACGATCGTCGTTATTTCGCGCGATAGGATTACGCAATTCGTCGCCCCGTGGTCGTCGTCGGCGTCAGCGTCGCGGCATCCTAGCCTAGCTCGCGTCTCCCGTATTTCGTCGCGACTGACTTCGCCTGTTTTCGAAAACTTCGGTCGAGAGCGAGGGATTCAGCCAAGAAGATCCGCAGCAACCTGGCGCCCGGCCGTGGCTTGTAATACGTCGTTCTGTTTTCCTCAAGCCGACGACAAAACAGCAACTTGCTCGTTCACCCTCCCGCCCCGCCTGCCTGCCAACCTTGCCTAACCGTCGGCACTCCTTCGCGTCTTTTTTCGCGGGCGAAACGTCGAATAACAACCCGTTCCCTGACCGCGCCGACCGAAAGTTCCTGGCGCCGACCGAATCGTGTTTGCGTCGCGCGTCCGATATGCGCTCAAGCCGGTCAGCCAATTCACGCGCGCTCTATCTCTTTTTCTCTTTCCCTCCCTCTCGTTTGCGCAACCCCCGCGTTATTTGCGGCGACGTCAAAAATTATTGGGCGCGTTCGCGCGCCCGGATATAATGCACGGCTGTCGTTCGTCCGGAGTTACGAGCGGAAGAGTTTCCTGTCCAAAAATTTGCCGCGCTTCCCTGTCGCGTCGTCGATTGTTGATTCGTACACGAGTCGCATCCCGTTCCCGTTTTCTCTCTCTCTCTCTCTCTCTCTCTCTCTCTCTTTCTCTCTCTCTGTGTGTGTGTGTGTGTGTGCGTGTGTGTGTTATGTCCCCCAACAGATCTAAATTTGATTTCTTTGCCGAAAACTTGGCGGTGGACTGACATCGTTTCTGAAATTTACGTTTCCGACCTTTCGCTCTTTGGAATGAATTTTCCGACCTTTGGAATGGGTTTTTTGCCGAACGCAAAATTTGTCTCTCGTTAACGTTTTCGTCGTCGAGCGGAAACTTCGCGTTGGAATATTAATTTTAGGTTTTATTGCAAAAACTCAGCGTCAGAAAGTTTGTCCCGGCTCTCTCTCTCTCTCTCTCTCTCTTGCTTTCGGAGCGTTTTCCTGCTCCAGAAACAAGAATCCAACCTGTATTATTCATGCGAAAATCTCCTCGAGGTTACTTGGAGAGATTGAAGCACTTTACCTGGTTTCATCTTCATCGACCACACCTGCGACGAGAAGAGATTGAGAAGAATGATCGATAACCAACATCCTCTCCTCCTCTCGCGCACTAGACCTAATTCTTCTCCCTCGAGTATTTGTAGTTACATACTCCCCGTCTCCCCGACTTTTCCTTCACCCTGCACCGTAGCTATTTCCACCGAAGTTTCTTCATGTGTTGCATGACACTCTCACATACTCTCCTTTGTTCGTTCTCTCGAATCACTTAATATCGCGCGCGAAGAGCAAGTCGAGGTCGCGATTTCCTCCCCGCCCACATCGTTCCAAAAGGAAGTCTTGAAAATTTCACGAAACTAAGAATTGCTATTTTTAGCGCTATTTTAGCGTGTTTATATCCTAGACACACACATATATATATATACCTAGAAAGTGGAATGTGTTTTCAAGTTATCACAAAATATAGCCGGTGATGTGTAATGTATAGTCGCCTAATGTTACGGGCAGACCGGATATGCCGTGCATCTCTATCTCTCGATCGAATCGTGTTCCTTGTAAATAAAATGTCCCCCCGGGGCTGATTGTACAAACTACAGAAAGCGCCGAGTATCACGTTTAGTTATGTGCTCGAAATGTTTGACCGTCCATACACTGGCATTTTTAAAACAGCGAGGGGAAAACGCGCGATGTAAAAGGTCATTCCATTCGTATATGTATCGGCGTGTTTTTTTCTCTCTCTCCTCCTTTCCCCTTTTGTATATTCAAAACCCCCCCGAAATATATATCTCGCTCGCCGTTTGCGACCCGCTGTTTTATCGATGTCGTGGATAATGCTGATGCGTTTCAAATAGTAATCGCACATAGAAAACGCCGGCGAATTACAGATAGCGACAGGATCGATCGGCGCGAATTTGAAAGTCAAATATCGAGGCGAGCTTGCGCGACCGGCAATTTTCTTCCTTTCCGAAGACATCACGGGGGGTGATCCGATAAGATTGCGTTAGCGGGCGCAATATTGCGCAACGGTGGCGCGACATTACGGTAAGCCGCGCGATGCTCGGGGAAAATAACACGAACGACACGACGCAATCTCGCGAATGTCGCAGATCGAAGCCCATCGTCGCTTTCTCGTTAACTCCCGAATATTCGGAGGCTCTTGTAATCTTAGCGACGATCATTCGAGACGTACAATCGCCTCCGAAATATATCTCGCGCGATGAAACGGAACCTCGAGGAACCCGTCTTCTCTCTGTTGATCACGGTATCTTTGCGCTTCTGTGCTTTCACCTTTCGTCGCTATCTGTGCCGCGAGAGCGCCTTTGAAGCTGCGAACCGGCTCGCTTTTCCGTGTGCGAATACACGAGAGCCTTTAGAAACGAGCGTGTTAGTATATCGTTTCTCGCTGAGATCCTCTCTGTCTGTCTTCGAGCTTGCTTGAGCCTTGCATGGCGGGTCATGATTGTTGTTTCAGGCCGCGGCAGCAGCAGCCGCAGCGTCACCATTGCTGAAGACACCCCTGTCGACGGCACAGCAGGCCACCTACGCAGCTGCAGCGACCTACACGGCGGTGGCTGCGCGCGCATACGGCGCAGCTGCAGCTGCGGCACAACCGGTCGCAGGATATGCCGCAGTAGCGGGGTAAGTGCACCGTTTTCGCCGGAGAACCCCCGGTGTGTACTCACCTCACACCGAGTCCTCCTCCAGGACTTCCTCTCCCACTCTCGCCCGCTCGATATACAGGAGATCCCGAGACGAGTCGACCTTTCGTCTCTCTCGCGGATCGCCCGACTAATTTCGAACCGATTTTCCAGCATAATGCGCGGAAACGTCCCGCGTGTAGTCTCCTCTTTTCCTTCTTTCCCCTCTATCATTAAACACACCCGCCCGATTAATTCTCGACTAAAAGTTTCACCGTAAGGATCCGCGAGGTTCAAACGTGGACTCTTTCAATGTATCGCCGATGATACCATTCAAGCTGCATACACGGTGAAAAATTTTGTATTGAAAATGGCCCACTGAAATTTTTATGTTGCTTTAACATTGGGTATATGTTAAAAAGTATATAATTATATGTTACATTAACACATTCATTCCTTGTTAACATATGTATTTTGTTGAGGTAACGTGGAAATTTCAGTGAACCGTTTTTAACACAAATTCTTTTATTGTCTAACAGAATAAAGATAAAAATATTCGATATTATTAGCTTTTGTTTTAATACATAATTCAATATTACTAGCTTTTTATTTCGATCTCTGTAATTTTCATATAATATACCAATTCATTAATATTGTAGATATCGTCTTAAAAGGAAAATCTCCCGTTAATAAACGAAATGGATTGAAATGAAAAGATATCTTCAGTTTCTACATTTAACGAAAACGTGTGTGTTAGTTTGATTCGTTTCTCAGAAAAAAAAAAAAACTACAAATTTTTTACCGTGTTTATACGACCAGATGAATTCCGTTTCTGAACTGGATAGACGACGCGTTCAAGCTCGTTGCCGGAAAATTCTTCTGACTTTTGAATTGCTTACAATATAGAAATTATTGTTTCCTCGACATTAGAAAAAAGTAGAAAAGTACAGTCTAATTGGTGGATTCGCGGGTATAAAATGGCTCGATAGACACGAAAGACTCCTGTGAACACCTACCCCCGAACAAACGATGATCACCGCGAGAAGAGGAAAAAATATCGAAATACATGCCCTTTCCATCGTCCTCACGCGAGAGGAAACTTTGCGAATTTTCTCCTGAAGCGCTCTCGTCCCGCGTAATACTCCTCGATTTCTTTTGAAGCACTGCTTAGCTTACTTCGTATGAATTATTTACGACGCGTTACACGGCCCTTGTTGTATCACCAACGATATATTTCAGACACTACGCGACGCTCGTTACATTACTATATAATATCTCCTCGACGCTAAAGCCGTGTGTTTTTAAATCAGTACATTACCGTGACAGTGGCACATAAAATCTCCGGATAAAAGTCTCAAGTATCTAATTTATTGAAGGTATCTGCAACAACGGGGGACTATTGGAATATCGGATGCTCAATAAATTCGTCTCGTCGTTAGAGAAATCGGCGTTCCTCGCGAGCGTGTCTCGAAATTTTCCCGCACGATGATACACCTTGAACTCGTTCTCTCCCGACCATTCCATTCGATTAATGACCGTCCGACGTGTATTATCTTCATTATCGATATGAAGGGCCACGGTTCCCCGACCGTCATAGCTGTGGTCGGCATGCAGTGTCACTCATACCGATGCGCATGCACACGTGTGCACGCGTATAGATCGCGAGGACCTCCTACGGTCGTTTTGAAGTCATCAGCTCGACCCCATTACGGAGAGTGAGGTCGAAGTATATATCACGTATACCTAGCATCGAGCAGTGAATCGCGCTTCATCCCGCTGTCTCCCGGCAAACACCCGCGCTGATCATCGTTCCCCTTCGCATTTGTTTAGATTTCTCTACCAACGTCCATAAATATCAATCCTCCGAAACGGGAGGTGTGTGCGTGTACCATCACTCGCCGCAAGGCTTAACATCATCGAGTTCCTTACAGAAAGCCACGGCGACGAGGACGAGCTCTCAGAAGTCGCAAATACATTCCCGAAGTCCGAACCAGTCCTACTAGTCCCTCCGAAAATCCAGACACGCCTCCTGAGGAACCTTAGCACGCGCACGCTTCACGTCGGTATCCTATGTGTATCAATCCTTATCAATCCTTAATACAGCCTGTAATCTATGTATAAATACTAATTTATATTCCATAATTTATATTAATCTATACACAGGACGTATGTGAATTCTATCGATAAGCATACGGAATAAATTCTATATAAAAGAAATAAGTAGTCTTAGTAAATGTATGTCTTGGAACGTTTGTAGAGATTCTGAGATGTAGCTGTCATAATCTCAATTAAAAGAAAAAATATCCAGAGTTTAATAAAAATATATATTTGTAGAACACGATTTTTTATTAATATAATTATATTCATTAAAACGTATAATTATATTAATTAGAAATCGTGTTCTACAAATAAGTAACTAGACACATATTGTGATAAAAATTGTTCAAAATATCTACCTACCTTAGTCAATTGACATTTGTGGAGTAAAAACGTTCGAATATTGCTTCGTTATCGTCGTCTTCGTATTAACATCACGAATGATTCTTCGATCAATGTTCAGAAATATCAAAATTCATATTATCTTCAAAAGCAGTTAAAGAAAGTGTTGTATTAGCACTCTTAACCCGCTTATTGTGGCACGTTTTCTTTCATCGTTGCTATCTTCTGAAGGCTATGTCTCAAAAACCAAGTTTTTGCGGACATAGATTTGCTAAAACTTTTTTACTTTTTTTCCAACATAGAATCTGATCTGTAAGTTTGTCGATAGAGTTCAGATACACCCTACATCTTTTGTAGAAACATCGCGTGATTAAAGAGATCATTAAAGAGATCAAGATAGAAATAATTTTCTCGCGTTTACTTCAATTATCAAGTAATTCGCTCAATTCTTTTGCTCACTAATTAACATGTATTGTTAATCAGCTTTTTCGTTGGTGGATTAATGCCTTTGTCCCACACGTCTGTTCCTTTGTTGTCCTTTGTCGATCGAAAAACATGGCAAACAGCTTAGTGAAACACGAGATTGCTCGACGTCGGTTCCGAACGTGGAATTTTTCGCGTCGGAATTGAACGGCTTGTTTTTCGAGTCGAGCGGCGTGGAGAATATTCCGCGTCGAGCTCTCTTGTTTGGCGCGGAATTAGAATTATATAATAAAACTTGTTGCAATAAAATCTTTTTATGTGCTTCCAGTTATGGTCGCGAATACGCCGATCCCTACCTCGGCCACGGCATTGGACCTGTTACGGGTTACGGGGTAAGAAAAAGCTTCGATCACGGGGCTTACTTTTTACGGTTTCATTTAACGGGAGTGCACGTTAAATCGCGCGCGTAGATCATCAACGGTCCGGGCCGTACGTCGGTACCGCGGTAGGAGAACAGAGCACTCCGTTATTACGCCATAAATAATGGGGAGTTGGAAAAGCCCTGCGGCCGCGTTTCACTCACATATGAATTATTAATGCGCCGGCATTTTCAACTTACGGAAACTGTGTCGCGGCGAAAGTTAATGGGCACGTACTCCCATCGCGCGTTTATCCTTAAATGTGACTATCCGCCTCGCCATCTCGCGTTTACGGCCAACGTTAACGGGCTTCATATTGTGTAAATGACGACTCGGCGGTGCGTGGTATGCGCGCCACGTTTCGCGTGGAATGTTTAATCGTCTGCGCGAACGAATGGCGATAGTCGACCGATGCGTCGCGCGACGATCCCTTGATTAAATCACGTCGACCACACTGAGGACAAAGGTGGTGGAATCAACGAAATCTTACCTGAACGGACGAAACAAGCGCAACGTTTAATCCACTGAACGAATGTTACAGTTGCTGGAACGAGTTGTCAGTTGATTCAAAGATTGCGGTTTGGTCAGCAACTTTATCGGCCCAAGATATTGTTGCACCAACGCGTAATTTGTTCGGTGGACATAATATTATNAGTGCGATTGTTTTAATTAACCCTTTGCACTCGAGGGCTCCGGAGCGGAGCCATTTAAAATTTGTCTTCAAACTCGAGGGCTCCGCTATGGAGACAATGCAAATAACTTTCAGTTCGTAACATAAGGACAAAGACAAATCGTAAAAACTATCGTGTGCAGGATATTCCGCTCTTCCATTTGCATTTGAGTTTGAAGAGTTTGAAGACAAATTTTAAATGGCTCCGCTCCGGAGCCCTCGAGTGCAAAGGGTTAATTAAAACAATCGCACTGATTTCGTCGATTCGACCGCTTTTTTCTCAATTTAGTAGCGTCGACTCATACTATCGCGCGACCATAAAAATTCGGTCGTCAAAGCTCACGTATTATTTTCAACCTCTTTGCCAATTTTCGAATATTTGCATTTCCGTAAACTCGAAGTTTGCCATTTGTCATATAGTCTATAGATATCTATATTTAAATAAAGCAAATAAAAATAAAATATATTTATTAATTACGAACAATTGACATATAGAGGTGATAAGTGATAAAAATGAGAATTTTTTTTTAAATGGTCGAGCAACCAGAAAATTCTTAATAAATTGTACTGTTTAAGATTGACCTTATATTATTCCTTATATCAGTATCGTACAATCGAATATCGTGCCGCATGCAGCGAGTACTTTTGGTTGTTGGAACACGCGAAAGAGTCAATAGTACTCGGCGTTTCTGTCATTTTCTTCGTGCAACAACTTTTTCGAGATTCTCGCGAATTTCCGAAGCGGATAGTCGCATTCGACACGTTGAATACTGTGACGATCACCGGTGACTGGTATTATAATCATATCATCGCATCTTGTTAACACTTTGACCACTTGACGCGACTTCATTCTACCAACTGTTATCGCTTTAGGAAAAAAAAATATTTGTCGGTAATAACAATCCATTATAATCTGATATTTTAAGCTTTCGCGATTTAGGTAAATATTCAATTTGGTTTTTAAGTTGGCATCGCTTCCTACATGGACTTATTTTTGACGTTTCGGGAACATTTCAGTTCACTTCTTCAGTTTTGGATCGTTCCTCACCTTGAAGAAGTAAATTGAAATGTTTACGAACGGGCATATTCACGAAACGTCGAAAACAAGCCCATGAAGGACGCGGCCTTAACTCGGAAACTAAATTGAATAGACTAATGTAATATCACAGAAGATATGTAAAGATAGATTTGCAAATTTACGTGCAGAAATATTCGTCTCCTTAAACCCAAGCGAGCTCTCGAAATCTGCTGCCGGCAGCGGACGAAAATCTTTCTGCGATCAGTGCACGACCGTCGAAGTATTGAGTTACGTGCGAAGTCGACCGGTCGCATGGCAAGTGGACGGAGCCGATAAAACGAGATCAAAGATTATAGTTAAGAAACCGTTTTTTTTATTTTTCGAAAAAAAATGCTTTTCCGAATCTTTAAAACTATATGAAAGATCCACGCGTCCCGAGTTACATTTATTTACCGTGTCTTTCGGCCTAGTTTTAAAGTTTCGTAAAAAACTTGGTTTTTCCCAATTTTCCCGTGGATTTTTCACGTGGTTCCCTACATTCTCACGGAAAAGAAGTAAATGTGGCAAATTTTAACTAAACACTCGTGCATTTTACTAAAACAAATAAATTAATTTGTCTGAACGAACTTTTGGTGCCTTTGGCAACGAGAACGGAAAAAATCTGTGGAAGAATTGAGGGAAAAAGTTATTTTCCAAAAGCTGAAAACAATAATCTAGCGAATCGATCGTCATTCGAGTTCTCGTGCAATCGCCGGGAAGCCACGCGGCGAAGTCAACGTGTCGAGCGACCGAGTGTGCCGGTGTGCATTCCGTGTCACTGATGAACCCGCGATTTTTCCAGGCGACGGTATACCGAGGTGGATACAGCAGGTTCACTCCATACTAAAGCGAGTTGACACCGAAGCGCAGCGAGCCTTCCACAATGTACACCACGTTATACTCAGCAGACAACATGACCAGATAACAAGTCAACACAATCATCACCGTCATTTTGCCATCATCGAGAGATCACCCCATGGGAGGTGCGACTGGCGCCTGGACTCTCCGCGTGTACGCCGATTCTCCGCTCCCCGGCGGAGAAGCAATTATCTGCGCGACCCCGTCTGACTGCGACACTCACGAAGATCGTTCGTACTTTCGCGACAGAGTCGAAGATACGAGAGAGAGCAAGAGGACATCGTCGCCGCCGATCGACGAGAGAGCGCAAGCGGAGCCGCCGTTTTGAAACATCGGGACGAGCGTTTGCGAAGCGCCGTCTGCGTCAATTTCACCGAAAAAACCTTCGACCTGCACTCGCGAAACGGCTGCGAGCAACGGCGGCGGCGACCGAGGCGAAGACGCGACGAGGGGCCACCTCCTCGTCGCATCTCCTCGCGATCGTCCGGCAAACGCGCGGCGGTTGAGTCGAGGCCGACGCAGCGTGTCGAGTCGTTCGACGGCGAGTCGCTCCGATCGTTTTCCTGCCAACAGCAGCAGCAGCAGCAGCCATTCGCTCGCGAAAACGCGGCCCGGTCGCTCTCCGCCCCCGGGCCCTCCCTCCCTCTCAATGTGAATAATTAGCCTCAATAAATAGCCCGATGATATCGGCAGTTGCCTCGGATGCAAACCTAAGCTCGTCGCGATTCCTCTCAACTGTTCTTTCGTTGGACGAGGTCAGTCCTTCCGACGACACCGTCTCACAGTCGCTGTCGTGCTACTTTTTTAAGGGGACATATCCAGTGCGATTTTAGACTGTTTTAATAAGGACCGTGCGAGGAACGCTCGAGGTTTCTCTCGATCGCCCGTGACGGGTGAATATATATGACCGAAATAAACGCGATAGCTATGTAACCCTCTTGTTTATTATACAGTTGCTACAAAAGTTGCATCAATGTCGTCATACATTGTCTCCGGTCCGACGTGCATGTCGCTCGTGCACGAGTTCCCACTCAGCAGCCGACTGATTCGCCGTCGGGCGGAGTGTGTTCCGCGGCCATTGGGCAAGCTGGTGAGATCGTCCCGCTCTGCGCGCTCCTCCGCTCGCACGACGCACTTTCATAGAAGTGCTGATACCAAAATATGTTCTTCCGCGGGAGATGTGAAGTTACGTTGCGTATACATACATGCGTGCAATCGCGCAACTTTCACGGGGCAACCGGGCTGTGAGTTTCCGCATCTCGCGTGTGTGCGGAATTATTACGAGCGCGCACGCAGCGAGATTCTTACTCGTTTGTCCGCGACGAGACCACTTCCGCCCGGCGCTCTGTTGCCTGGTTCCCACTCAACCAATTGTAACATAGCTATGCATTTACCGTAGTTATTCTCGTTTAGTCAACGTTAACCGTGTGGTTTGTATACTCGTAGTCTAAATTAGCGGATAATAAACACATCGACTCGCGTCGTCGGCGAGTCGTCGTACACGCGCGTACACGAAGTATTTGGCATAATTCATTGTTGCTATATCATCGTAGAAGAATTCGGCCGAGATTCGCGCGTGAGAGAGAAACTTTCCCGACGTCGTTTAGGTAAGAACAATTCGGCAGATCGACGAGCGTAGAGAGATCCGAGAAACGATGCCAATAGTTAACGACCGATCACACGTCGGCGAGATTGGCGAGATTTTTGCGGGGCGGATTCACGGCGAACGACGAACGGAACGTTAACGCGCGTGAAATGCGCGACGTTATCCCCGCTACGACGTGACGAAACGTGCTAAATGGCTGCGGGATGACACACACTGCTCTGTTTTCACGGCAGCGAAACGTCGACGAGAGGGCGCACACACGTTGTCGACACGAGCCAACACGCGACGGTGGTCCGGCATAGATATTATAAAGCGAGACCTCTCTCTCTAGGTAGCTAGGTAGCTAAAAGGAGGAAGAAGAAGCAAAAAACGCGACGTATAGCGGATACAGAAGCAAAAAATGCGTGTGTATGCGTGCGACCGGTAGGGTTTCTATGCCAAATATATGTGTATATGCGCTTACGTTGCGCGTGTGTATGCGTAGGTTCGCGAACTTGAAAGACTCTGTTTTCTCGGTACGCCATTTTATTGACAAGGAGGACGGTAGTAGCGGAGATAGACGCTGATCGTAGCCAACGAGAGCAAGAAGGAAACCGCCTTTTGAACATGACCGCTGAGAAAGAACACCTCGCGCCCGGATTCTGATTTGCGCAGAGTCTAGTCAGAACATCCTCCATCGGCTCCATTGATATGTCGATATACACGCGCCAGCACCTCCGATCCTTTCTTTTTCTACTGTTTTGTATTTATTTATGCATCTCGTACGATCCACACGCGACTCACCGCTACCCGACAGCCAAATGCGTCGTCGTTTCTCTCCTTTTTTATTGCGCTTACTCTCATCGGTAATTACAAAGTTAACCTGAATTTCAGATCATCTTGCGTTTAATCAATGGAACGAATAAGGAGCAAAATTCGAACTATCGCTATAACTCATAACGCAAATTAACTCATGACGTTAAATTACCGTGTTCTCACTCGTTGAAATTGTCAGTGAGAAGAGAATATTTGAAAATTTATTTGCGGGATATAAGGTTTATTTCAAGCAATTTTTAATTGACCGCAGTTTTGCATTCATAAAAATCAAAACCGGAACAAAAAAGAGAAACAAAAATTACGTCACAATAGGAGAAAATCTAAAACGAGCAGAGACGTGCGCACGTGTGTATTCGTGCTCGACATACAAAAATTTACTAGACTCATATATATATGTGAGTCTAGTAAATTTTTGTATATAACGAACGTCGATATCATCGATATATATATATATATATATATCTATCGATAGTATCAACGTTCGACAGTTCCCAAGGATGCAAATTTAAGTTCGTCGCGATTCTTCTCGACTGTTCTTTCGTTGGACGAAGTCAGTCCTTCCGACGACACCGTCAACGTCTCACAATCGCTGTCGTGCAACTTTTTTTGGAGGACATATCCAGTGCGATTTTGGACCGTTTTAATAAAGACCGAGCGAAGATCGCTCGAGGTTTCTCTCAATCGCACGTGATGAATTATTTTATATTATATATATATATATAATTCAAGAAATAAACCTCTCGGTAAAGATCAACTAACAGTAACGTAACCATCAATGTTATAACTTCTCACTCAATAACATAACTGTTACATATTTAACTGTTACTTATATAACATACGTGTTCTGTAACATTTATGTTGAGTTGTAGGAATTGAATTGTAACATTGATGTTATGTTACTCTTAGTTAATATTTACTAGACTTTCTCCCTAATAAATTTTGAAATATTTTTTTCTCAGTACAGCGCGCTCTTTCACGCATTTCTCCCGCTTTCGAGACGACTATTGTCTCATGAAACAATCGCAAGCCAACGAATCACGCATCGGGGCGGCATACGCGTTCGCATCATCGTCTCACCCACGCTCTCTTCTCCCGTGTGTCTTTCTCGCGGGGGAATCCGAACCGATATGGTCCACGCGATGCAAATCCAGTTGAACCACTTAATTTATTCCTTAGTTAAGCAATCCTACATGACAGCTTTTCTCATTGTTTTATACTCTTGATATCATGTAAACGTTAAGCCTGACAAAGCTCGCGTCGTATAACGTTTTTAATCAACGCAGAATCTCAAGGCCGATGGATAAGAGGGAGCCGAGTAGATGCTCGTAGACTCGTAGAAACAGAACTCCTCGGCACGAGTTCGGTCTCAGGGTGCGCCGGCGAACGCGCACACCAAGCTCGGCCCGCGACCGCTGTTTGAGCGCTATTGTTTGTAAACCGGTAATAAGCAATATTAAGTGCGAACGCTCGCTGGAGCGTGACGTTGCATCATACTCGGCGGTTCGTTTCGGTTCCTCGATGTCGGAGGGACACGTCGGCGCGCGCAGTACGCACAGTAACGAACTCCTCGTTCGTGCGTCACTTCGCGAAAAGGATGACGAAGGTTTCAGCCGAGTACCAATCCGATCGTAGCGGAATGCGTCGAGTGGCCGAGAACGCCAGTGCAAACGGATGCCTCGAAACAGATACGTTCGCGGAACCTACGCGATTATAATATTTCGTTTTTAAGTGTGCTATATATATATATATATATATATATATATATATATATATATATATAAGAATCTAATAAATTTTTGTACGCGCATCTGTTCTTCATCATGTTCTTTTTAGGCTTTCTTCTATTGTGACGTTATTTTTGTTTCCTTTTTTTTTGTCCCGGTTTCGATTTCTATGAACGCGGTCAATATTAGAAGTTAGATATAATTTTGTATCTATCGTCTTATAAATCACGAAAAATTTATCGATGAACTTATTAGCACACGCGACTTTTTTATACGAATATACAATTGATATGTTTCCACAATCTTACAAAATTGTTGATTTATTCGCAGAGAAGAAAGTTATCCTTGCACTCGCGTCGCGTCATAATTTTCTTTTTTCTTTTCTTTTTTTCTTTAGCGGTCTCTCTCTCTGTTCCGAGCGCCTCGGCGTTCTCGATTGCCCGATCCTTTCCTCGATAACGTTCGATATCTACTTCCTGATCGAGTAGATCGGTAACGCTTACAGAGTACACAGAAAGTAAGAAAAAAAAGAGGAAAGAGAAGAAAAGTGAGTACGAGCAGACATTCTGTTGGGAGTTTGGAAATAAACGCGACATGAGAAGAAATGGTACGCACACTGAGTCGAGTGAGTGATATCGCTGTTATAAATTACTAGTTAAGCGAAGATTTATCGTATATTATACGTAAGGAGATAAAATGTTACGCTAAGAACCGTAAGAAGGGGACATGCGAGTGCGAATTGAAGGAGCGTCNGGGGGGGGGGGGGAGGGCATTGTAGAAAGGCGTTGTAGAAGCACGTGGGAGGAAGCGAAAACGTTGGACGTTCGTGAATACGAAGGAGTCGTGTGAAATAGCCAAATATGACAAAGATGTTTTAGAGTGTACGGCAAGTAGTTTGGCCGTCGTTACGTTTTAATCGCATCTTCAGCT